TGTGTGTGTGTGTGTGTGTGTGTGTGTGTGTGTGTGTGTCCCTCACTTCCTAATGAGTTATTTGGCTGAGGTTGGCCAATAGAATGCCTAGAGAAGTAGCCTACAACATCATAGGTTCAGTCACAGGGCTGGGTATGTAGGTCTACTTCGTGTACACGGAACGCTCTCAGGGGAAATCGATAAACTCAGCGTGTTTGCCTGTGTTGTCCTGCATCGAATATTTAACGGTGAATGACTTGCCTCGATTCCTTCAGTGCACTCAAAACTCACGAAACGTCTATTTATAACGAGTCGATTTGAAGTTTGAACTTCTATTGACATGACATAGTTAAAGAAACAGAAGAGAACACGGAAAAAACCCACCCCGTTGCGATTAATATGTTTGGCTTATTCGTAAGTCATTATCGTTAATATTATTATGTTGTTGTTCTTTTTAACAGAAGCTTTTAAAACAGACAATAATGTTATCCAAGCGGAATCCCAAGTAGTGCCTTTAGTTAAGACCTTCGACTATTTTTTTCAGCTGACATATTTTAACCAGGTCTGTCATGACATCAAAACGTATGCTGAGTTCGAGAGAAGTTTTAGGATATACACTAGGAGCAGATGTCACTACCTATTCCGAGTCAACCAACCCAAGCAAATTAACGGGAACTCACCGAAAAAAACACGGACAAGAGTTTAACACAAACATGACTCTGCCCTGACTAGTTTTTTAGATCCCAGGAAAGTTGACAAACATTTTTTTTATTTTTCCCTGATGTAATTTGGGAAGAGCGGGGGGATACACAACTTTTGTATCGTTTTTATCCATTTAATCATTCATTTTTTTTCTCGAAAATCAACACCAGTAGGCTGTAGCCGTAAATGAAACGTGTTGTTATGCTTGCGAAGTTGAAATCGCGTAGAATGGCAATATTTTTCTAAAAGTACAACAATTCAAATTATCAGACCAATATGATGACAACATTTAACCAAACCACCATAAAAACATAAGTATTGAAGAGAAATGCCCCGTGTAACGACGTTACATAATTTTTATGTAACATATTTATTAATCATGTTA